GTGATCCTCCGCACCTTGTGAGGTGCTCTGGGAAGCACCCTCGCCCCTGATGCGTTGGATGGTCCCTGGGTGGGTGAATTAGATGTGTGGAAAGGCTGGGAGTTGCTGGGACTTGAAGGGGCTCAGACAAGATGCCAAGATATGCAAGAAATAACTGTGGGAGGACTGACGGTCTGGGAGATGACACGGTGTGTGTAGGGGTGTGTGTGTGCAGCTCGGTGTGGCTCCCCGTATGAATGGGAGTGTGTGTCTGTGGTTTCTCTGTGAGCAGAGCTGAACTATGTGTGTGCATGCATGCGTGCTCGTGCACGGATTCCTTGTAGGTGCACATATTTACCTGCACGAGTTTGACAGTGCCCATGTGGGAGAAACCACCTGACAGCTCTGACAGGGAAGATCAGATTACAGCGTGGTGTGAGCAGAAGTGCACATACCATTTCTCTGTTTCTCTTGGGAGTGCCTGCTTTTCTTCCTTGCTATATAGCCTTTAGATAGAGGTGGAAGGTCTGTGGAGCCCACATTGGATGTGTTTTTGGCTGCATTTTTTAATTTAAAACTGCAAATCTCTGATTTACATAGATAGTTTGATAAAGATTGTCCTTTTTTTTAAAAAAAATATATATATATTTATTTTTAATGAGAGTGAAGAAATGGTTCCTCATCAGATAGAGTCCCTCTCTCTCAAGACTGAAAAACCTCTGAACGTGCCAGTACAGACTATGAGACACTGAGGTCAAAGTGACTTAGACATCTCAAGAGTCTGAGCTTTTGGGTCAGTCTGCCTCCAGGGTGTCCTTGTTCCTATAACCCAGCTTGGAAAGCACAGTGAAGGACTAAATTGCAAAATTGTTCAATGGGTCTTTCTTTCAACCTCCAGTGCATATTGGGTGGGGTGGCCGGGGGGGAGGGGGAGAGAGAAGATGAATGACAGAACACCTCCTGGGTATAAAGAACAAGCAAGAGGATGCTGTGCAGCCTGGAATTGAGCTGTGGTCTTTGGGGGGAAAAGGGGACAAAGGTGGTCATGAAGTAAAATGTCCTGTCTGGCTTTGAGAGGGCTGCTTACGTCTGCAGTTACTACGAGCTGGCAGAACCATGTAAGACAAGGATTGTTTGAGCTCATGTTACATACGGAAATGGCTTTCTGCACAATAGTCCCCTTGCTGGGGCACACCACACTGACCTGTCTGCAGCTGCTGAATCCAGCTAGCAGGCAGGTTGGCACCAAGTTCTGGAGCTGGTCATCAGCAGCCCCTTGACCAGCTTGCTCCCCGCTCTGAGCATTTTGCAGCTCACTCCTCTTTCTCCCATGGCTCTCACTGTCTTTTCCTAGGGCTTGTTGGGGCCCGTAGGGGAGATGTCGATCAGGAATGAGAAGAATGTGGACGCTGGACCCAGTCCTGGCAGTTGCTTTCACAACTCCCCACCTTAAGCAGACTCTGCCCTGTGAGGGCAAAAGGGCAGTGAAGGCCTTCACCCCAGATTTCCTCAAATCCAAAGATATCCTCTATGTTGCAAGAGGTAAGCCTTGAGCATTAGCCACTGCTCACCTGCCTTCAGCCACCCAGTGCTCAATAGCCCATTGTGTTTCTCTGCATGCCTGGGGATGACCTAGTCCACGATCTGTTCCTGGAAGCTCATTGTTGGCATATACCCATCCATGCCTGTGGAGCAGATTGGTTTTTATGAGGGAAAAGGGTTAAATCTTAACTAAGAACTTGGAGAAATGGTCGGTCCCTCAGGGAGGGTGGGTTCAGGAGCAGAGTTGTCCTTCCCTACCATGACAGAGCATGGACTACATTTGATCTTACTCAGAGAACAGCTTCCATGTACTCTCTGCCCTGCTGCAAAAAGTTCAGGAGGAGGAGGATGTGTAGAGCTGTAAATTTGGCCCGGGTTTCCTTTGTTCATTGACCAGCTGTTCAAACTCAGGAGGTACTTTCCAAAACTCTCCCGGGGGGACTGAAGAAATCCTGCTCCAGATTGCAGCCCCCGGATGTACTGCTTTGCTGCCCTCCCTGGAGAGTAATATCAGAAAGCAGTGTAAAAGAGGAGGTACTCTCTGGGCTGTTTACATGGAGACTTCTCTCTGGGCTGTTTATATGGGGAATTGCTGGACCCTTTGTCATGCTATGGGATGACTGACGCTGGCAGAGGATCTGTACAGTCACATTTGGGCTGGTGCCTCAGCTCATTCATTCGGGGCTGGTGTTACAGCACTGCAGCTACCGGTTAGCTATCAGTTCAGCAAGGCCATGGAGAAGAGTCTCCTTCTCTGTGCGTGGTGCTTTGCCTCAGCAGAAAAGACTTGTGCTGCATTAAGCATCCATCTTTAGATGGGGAGATGGAAATCTACTTCCTCACCCTCCCTTTTGGGGGTGCACCTCTGGGGCTTTTACATCTCCACGCCTTAAAGGAAAGGTGAAGAATGCTCAGCTTTTAGTCCCTTTTCATCATTTTCTTTGCATGCGAACAGCAGGAAGGAAAAAATTTGGGAGTACCATACCCTGCAGCCTGCCCTGTGTTGTGCTGTGTGGCGGTGCTGTCATCTGCCTATCAAAGGGTATGGGAGGAGGAAAGATACAGGGGGTCTAGCAGTGCTACTTCTTGCCTGGTGGGGTGCCTGAGTGTCTGAGGGCAGACCCCAGCTGAGCACTAGTCAGGTCCCTTCCCCTTTGTGAAGAGAGCACCCATCAGGCAGCCAGTGGGAAGGAGAAACGTGCTGTGGATCGAAGAGTTACATCTTCAGCTTGGGGCTGATGGGGCTGCGGAGCCCTGTGAGAGTGGGGACAGAGCTGAGGAAGCAGCCTGCATTCCCATGTGCCAGCCCTGTAGCAGGGAGGGTGATGAACAGAGATGGATTCATGCCTGCAGCAAACCCCTCCTCTGTCACGGTAAGCAAGGCCCCCAGGTGGGCCTTTCACCAAAAAGACACTGGCTGTTATCTGCATATCTCCCAGAGCTGTTTCAAAACGCTACCTCCGCTCCACCCCAGGGCACCCAGCAGCAATTCCCGTGTGCACTCACATTGCTCACACACCACAAAACCCAAAGACCAGCAGCTAGGCCAGCAGGGCCGGTTCTCCAAGCCCCTGTCCCCAGCAGGGCAGCGGGCAGCACCAGCAGCCCCATGGCACCCACCCCAGAGCTGGGTGTCTCCCGGCGGGATCCCAAATTCCCCGTCCGCTAGCGTGTTCTTGGGCGCGGCTCGGCTCCACCTCTCTCGTACATCTGCCTTGGGACAGCCTGTGCCCTGCGGAGATGCCCAGCTCTCTCACGAGACAAAGGGCCCGGCCTGCGAGTCAGGCATTGCTCATAGCTGGGGAGAGCCGGCCACAGGAGCCTGCAGCGAGGAGCTCCTCGGGTGGGTGCTTCCAGGCACCGCCGTGTGAGCGGGAGTGAGCTGCAGCCCTTTGGATGCTGCTCCCCAGTGGGGCGGATAGAAGCAAGCTGCCTTCCAGCCCATGCTCCCTCTGCACACAGGCCCCAGGTTTGGCAGCTGGGTGAGGTGGGCTGGGTGGGGACATGGAGACATTCGGCTGACTTAGCCCCCTGTTATCACAGGAACGATAGCTAACGAGCTCCGTGCTTTCACGCTCTTCATGCCCTGCTCCCTCTGTGTTTACTCAGGAAAGAATCCAACTCCATCCAGAAATGTCAAGTGGGCCACGCTACTCTCAGAGGTGCCTTGAGGAATTCAAAGCCTTTGAGTGAAAGTTGCTCTGCGGCCACAGCGTTTACTTATTTATTTTTTTAACAAACCGATTTCATTGTTAATCATGACAACTCCCCCAAACACTTTCCACCCAGACTGACTGTCAGCTGCCTCAGGCAGCTTCCTGACCACTGAAACGCATCTACTTCTTGGGCAGGAGGCACCCCTGTGTGACCGAGCTGCAAGCAAGAGGGGACCTCGAGAAGTCACAAAATCCATCCTGCTGCCACAAGACATGGTCAGCCCAGCTTCTTGGACATCCCTGTAATAACCGTCCACAGCACCAACCTGAGCCCCAGCAATTCTCAGCTGGACTGAATATCATTTTGGGCTCTTTCAGCCCCATGAAACTGTAGGGGCGGGCTGGGTTCCTGCTACGGGAACCAAAGCCTGCTGCCAGCAAACTGCGCTCCCTTTCTCAGACCTCAAAAATAGTTCAGGGAATCGACCGCAGGACACGAACCACAGCAGACTGATGAAGTGAGAGAAGTGGTGTAGACGGGGAGGGAGAGGGAGAGGTTGCATAGAGAAAAGCAGGTGAGTAGGGAAAACTGCCAGTCTCCACGATCCCACACTTCCCATCAGTGCCTGCCCCCACCACACCCTATCAAGTCCACGCTCTCCCTCGCTTTGCCTCTCACCACTCCCTGCTCCCGGTTCTGTGCTGCCAAGGAGGGGGTGCAGCATGAATTTCTACCCATTGCAATGTTTCAGCTGCAAGCTGGGGCTGGCTTCAGGAGCTGGGACCCCCAACAGCATGAGAGAGCTGCTCCCCCTAGTACCCCAAAGCCTCTCCAGCTTCACTTGGAACAAGGGCTGTTGTTTTAAATTAGAGCTTGGCAAAATACTGACGGAGTGGAGAGAGAACGGAGACATGCAGAAAAATGTGAGCAAGAGCCAAAAGTGCTGAACCAGCAGCCCTAACTTTGAGCGGGCGTTTTCCCACATTTGTAAACAATGCCAGCGCTGCTCCGAAGGAGTGTGGCAGCTCCCATGTCACTGCTGGCCCAGCCTGGGCTCTCAGAGCTGGTGTCCCAGCTGCACATGCCCTGGAGGTAAGAATTACATTGCCGGAGCCAGTGCTATATACTTGCAGCATTGCTTTACCCCGTAACACAGCTGGATTTCAAAGCAAATGCTGAAAGTTGAGGAGAATCCCGTGGTGAGCTCGTATGCCAAGTCAAAGTGGCAGAGCAAGGGAGAAGAGCAAGCTGGGCTGCGGGACGAGGGGAGCAGGCACGCGTGAGTGAGAAAAGTCGCTGAGGATTTGGAGTGAAGCTCTTACCGTGTGGGCTGGGGCTGGTGCTGGCACCTGTGGAAGCAGGAGCGTGCGGGGCCGCGGTGCTGCTGTGCCGGAGCGCAGAGCCGTAGTGAAGGGGAGTGACCTGCTGGTGGTTTAAGTTTCCTCGGTGGTGCGCAAGGGTGGTGTCTCTCCACTCTGTTTTAAAGGAGTTACTATGAATCAGTCTGCCTTTAAAGCGAGGGAGAAAAAAAAAAAAAAAGTTTCATAAGCTACGCCCTGCTTTGTTGGCAAGGTGTCAAGAGTCACTGGGAGGAAACCAGCGATTCAAAGAAATCTGTGTAGGGTTGTGTCTGACTCAGAGCTCAGCACAGAGACCGCAGCCTGGAAAAAAAAGACTGACGCTGATCCAGCTGAGTAATAGAGGCCCACAACAGCATCTGTTTATAAAACTGAACTTCTGGTTGTCATAAAAAATATTGTGTAGTTACAAATGTGGCAACGAGACTTCAACAATACAATTCCCTCAAACAAGCAAACAGCCGGTTGGCATGGGACGTAGTGAAGCTGGGTGAGTCACCACATCCCTCAGCCCTCTTCTGCACAGAGAGAAATTGCCAAGGTTGGCAGTGTGAGGGAATGCAAATCTGACCTGTGGGATGGGCACGGGCAAGACTTTTGGGAACATACCAAAGAGCAGAGATGCTCAAAATGCAGCTCTGGCCTGGTGGTGACTCTGGAGCAAGCTGGCCAGAGGGTGGTGGTTTGCTTCCACAGGGAGAGCATGGGAAGGAAAGATGGAACAGGGAGTTTGTGATTCACAGTTTTCTGAGGTCAGCATTTCTTGTCAACTTAAAGACCTCTAAAAATAGATTCTTTACATTTGCAGAGAATTGAGTGAGGTAGCTGTCTCGTGGATGCTACAGGCAACACTGAATGGGGATGTGCTCGACATGCTGGAGAAGGAGGAAGAAGTTTGTGAGACAGCATCTCGGTTAAGATGTGATCCATACTGTGATAGAGTTGGTGATCTGCTACTGTAAGAAACCAAACCTTCCTTTGCAGAGGCACAGAAAAGGATGAGCAGATACTGATAAAATAACTGGCAAAAGTTTTTATCTCTTTAGTGAGGATGACACTGCATTGCTTCTATGCAAAAAAGAAAGCTGGTATTCTTTGAAGACAACACAAATTAAAAAAACTTTGCTATATTTCAATTATTCCTTCTTTCTGGTGTTATTGATATGTCTTGTCCCAGTCTAATTTTAGACCGTAGCAACCAACTTAAAAACAGATCTGTGGATGAAACAGCAACAAATATGACACAGATGGTGGGCAAAGACTTTATGCCCAGACAGTTCCATGGGAAATTTGCCACTGAAGGAAAATAAAGACAGAATTTTGTTCCCCAAGGATGTAATAAGCCTAACTATGTTTATTACATATGGATTAGAATATGTATTTTGTTTGTTTGTTTGTTTTTTGGTGATATATATAAATATGATATCCAGAGAAAGCAAAATACATTCACTTACCCTGCAGAAGGAGCTGGCATTTGCATTGAGCTGCACTGTCCATTTTCCCCTTCCTGTTCTCCCATCAGAGTTTATTGGAGTGAGGGATGCTAAGCTCCACACAAAATTCTGGACCAGGTGGTCCTAAAGCAGCCCTTCTGGTCCACTTACCAGAGTTTGATGGTGATGGGTTTGCTCTTTTCCCCAGAGCTGCTCACAAGTGACCCACTAGCCACAGGGTAACTTGCTGCAGAAGTGCTCGCCTGAGACCCAACAGCCCAAACACCTGCATCTAAAACACACATTGGGCAAGGTTGGTGGAGTCTGCCAAGAAACTGAGTGTGAAGTGACCCATGACTGGCAAAATGTTTTTGTCCAGAGAGAGCAAACTCATTTTGTACAAGTTGCTCTCTAGCTGTGACAGGCAATGGCCAGCATCAGGCTCTTTGCAGGGAGGTAGCAGCATTCTGCGGTGTCAGCAGCAGCTTGCCCACAGGAGTGCTTCTTCCTAGCTCTCCTTCTGGAAAAACTGGTGCCTGGCCAGAGGAGTAAAGAAACATAACCAGACAGGTCACATATGCTGTGACTGTGGCCCTGGAGGAACACTGCTATGCTACCAGCAATTGGCTTCATCCCTGTTGCTCCACCTGTCAAGCTAGGTGTGAGGGGGGTAACAGTGAATGTCAAGCAAACAAAGGTGCAGATAACTGCTCCTGTTTGGGAGCAACATTGCATGGTGGTAAGATGATGGTTTAAGCAAGTAAGGGGGTCCCCCTAACGTCAGGGTATGATGAGGTCAGGGAACAGCTCAAGTTCCACTGAGCATATCAGCAGCTATTTTGGGATATTTCCATCCTTGCATCCACCTGTCTTTCTGGAGAGGGAGAAGACAGGGTATAATTAAGAGAAATTCCTACTAATAGGTAAAGGTAGGAGAATATTTCAAGTTGATGACATTTGTCTTGTTTTCTGTCGCTGTTTGTCTGTGGACGAAGCGCTAGCTCAGTGAGCCTTTCTGTATGTGTGAGGGAGAGCCAGCCCTACCCACCCATCTAGAGAAGAGGCTGGTCTTTCTGTGTACCTCTGGCAACTTCTCCCTTTAGGGTGTGTGGTTTTCATAAGGGAGGTTGCAGTGGAAACTGTGACGTGAAAAGTCTCATCACGGGATCTAAAGTGTAAAACGTGCTGCCAGTTCGACATGTGAAGGTTGAATTGCCTAAGATGCACACCCCGTAATTCATGGTGTCCCTTGACCTAAGCATCACTCATTTCACAGGATTTTCTGAATGCCGACTAATAGGAGGCGGTCAGGTCAAAGCCATGAGAACTTAAGTTGTGGGAATCTGGACTGGCATTTCCATGGGCAATGAGAGGGTGAAACTTTCCCATGCATGCCAAGCCTTTGCTGAAGCTCTTCCTAAACAAACAGCTTGCAGCTGCTATATGTCTGCTTATTTTGCCATACGTCTGCAGACATCACTACTGTGTATGACCCGTAGTCCATGGTGTAACGAGAAGAGCATCTGCACTGACATTAGATAAGAAAGACAAACATTAAACTTTGACAAGCCCAGATCAAAGGAGGAATGGAGGAAGAGGAGATGAAGTGTGGAGTTAGCTATGGGGAAGGCATGGTCAGGCTCAGCTGGAAACATCCAGAAGAGATCATTTCTAGAGAGGGGTGCCAGGGTAAATAGGCCATGGTAGCGGAGTTCCCATGCTCTCTGTGATGCTTTCTAGTATGAATTCAATGGGACATACATGTGCTATGCAAGTGAGTTTGTCTGGATAACCATCTGCAAACACACATTGCATATTACGTCCTCCCAGTCTAAACAGCATGGCTTTCCATCTGAAATCACTTAACCCCTTTCCTCTCTCTTAGATGTGTTATTTGCTCTGTGCAACATCCTGCTGGCGGGTTGCAGGACAGGTGGAATTGATATGCTCCATGCTGTTTGCTACTTCTCCACTTGTCATGACACAGAGAAGGTGGGGCTGAGCCTGAGCTTATATGCGGGTTTAAAAAAATAGAAACCAGCAGGTTTCATACTGCTCTGTGATGGCGTAACTGATGTGTTTGTGTGTGTATCCTGGGGTTATCCATGTGATACAGTAACTTGCAGAGACATATGATACATCTCAGAGCCCTGTGATAAACTGCATTTGTCACGCATGACCCTGCAGGGTTTCAGATGGAAGCATTCATCCACTGGAGAGGAGAGGGAGATGGTTCTCTTATTTATAGCTTTGCTGTGCTCTGAGGAAGCAGATATTGGAATTCACACCTTTATGGTTTTGGTCATTTCTCTAATGTTTGTTGTCATGCTCCTGTCCCCCTAAGGATGCTAGATTTCCAGCACTTAGGGAAGATGACTTTACAAGCTCAGTGGTACAAGAAAAGAATGGATTGCAGTCAGCAGTGAACAGATGTAACTTGCCCTGTACTCAGCTGATTTTGTATTTTTACTCTTTTTGGTGGCAGGGCTGATTTCTGGCCCAAATTATTCAGTAAACTGCTTGAAGAACAAAACCTATGGAAAAATCCATATAATTTTTTTTTTCTAAAATCAGCTAGGGCTGCCAGTCTGACTCACCTTTTGAAAGCAGGTGATAGGTACAGTGTTCAAAATGCCCTGGGTTTGTAGCGCTTGAGCACTATGGCAGAAAGCTTTGATGCTGAGGACTTGCTATAGTTCCCCCTAGGAGTTAAGCATTACGGATGGGTTCAATGTCATAATGCATTCCCTGCATCCCACCTACCACATCTGGAAAGCCCTAAAGTTGTCCATGTTTCTTAACAGGGATTAAAAAATAAATAAAAAAAGAAGGGCATGAGATAAGGAGAGCATTCCTTCCATACTTTTCATAGTGATTAGAGTTCAGTTTTGTCCCCGCATGTGAGACGGGCCATACACTTCATTCTCATGTTGGAGAGGGGGGTGAGGATGGGTGGATTCCTCCATGCAGTGCATGGATTGGCATCTCACACTGGCATCCCACACTGTCTTGGAGTACTGACGTGCACATTGTGGTCTCTGCAGCAGATCTGTAGACTCTGCCAGACTGAATAAATGGTAATTCACTCATAGCTGGCTGAGGGGTTTGGACTAGCTCTCAGTGGATCAGTTAGCTCAGAAGTGCTTTGCCTTTCCAGGAGCTGTGGATCAGTTAGCTCAGAAGTGCTTTGCCTTTCCAGGAGCTGTTGGATAGGCTGGATGTGATCCTCAGGTGGAGGTGTTAAACACCTGGAAGAGGCGGTGTGAGATGGCTGGTGCTGGACGTAGAGACTTGAAGCAGGGAAAATGTAACTTTCTTTCACGTTCTGGAGCAAAAGAAGAGGGTGTAGTAAGATGAGAGCCATCTGAAATGAAGTCTTCTCCTGTTTTTGTGAGAGCGAGGGAACAGCATGCCCCATCTGTTTTCCCTTCCTTTAACTTCTACCTCACTCTCTTCCCTTTATTACATTGGAAACATGGCAGCTGACGACATTTGGTTGTAACGTGCAAATGGTACCTCAGCCCCAGCAGCCCTGAGCTGTCACTTTCCCCAAGAACCTCTCCCATTCCACATCAAAGAGGTAGTGGCTGGTGGTATTTTCCACCTGTTCATGAAGGTTTCTCTCACCCATTCTGGCTGCCAAGGAGGTTTTCTTTGTTGTTTTTTCCTGCTCCTGGCTCATTTCTACTTCTGCCTTCTGTGGCTGCT